TGTGACTTACACCCATAAAATCAAATAAATAAGGTATCTATATTAATATTTTCTCTTTCACCCTTTCTCTCTGATTAGGCACTCTTCACTTCTCTACTATACCACTGAATCTCCAGCAAATAAAAATACACAGAATGTGAATTAACCTGTGCTTCTCTTTGCGATAGGGGCTTAAATTTAAAGCAAAGGAAAACCAAAAACTTTAGTTTTCAATTCTTTTGAGTGCAAAAGCAACATAAAATTTGTTGTTGTTATTTTGGTATGTAGGTATGGATGGTTCTGTGGAAATGAAAAACATAAATCAGTCTAGAAATTGTCATGTGAACCTAATATCGAAGAAGTCGACCGAAATTAGTTCACTTAGGTATTTGACTAAAAATCAATGTTACTATTTTTTTTTTTTTAAATAGCTATCAGTTTGCCACACAGGTTTATGTCGCCACCAGCAAAAGCCTCCAGAACAAAAGAGACTGAACAATATAAAAAAGATGGGAGAAATTATTTTATATACTTAATATGCCAAAATAAGATAATATAGACTATTTCTATACACGTTTTTCTCTTACGCATATGTTTTAGAACACTGAAATGACTTTACTTACATAGTAATCAATAACAAATTGTTTTTTGGGGGGGATAGGTGAGGAACACAAGACATTAACACAGAACATAATAATGCAAACACCTGGTACCCATCAACCACCCTAAATGAATGTGAACATTTGATCATTATTCATCTATTTTTATTAACAAAATTGTTGGGAACTATCAGTGGATGGAGAACTGCTAACATACCAATTTGCTTTTCCATAAATAACGACTTATTGCTCATTCTTCATTAATCATTGTGAAGTACCCCAATTTCGTCTAGGGTACATAACATCAAGATTCATGTCACCTTGCCCCATACAAAATTATGAAGAGCTAAAAGGCATAAATATAATCCTAATTATTAAAGGTTTCTGTGGAGCCATCTTAAAAATAGTTACCAATCTATAAAATAGAAACTGTCAGGCAAAAATGAGTGTCAGTATGATGGTATATTTCAAGTTGCTGTTCATAAAAAAAGTCATTACTAAAAAGTCTTCTTTGAAGTTCATTATCAACAATTATTTCTGTTGAGGTATACCTTTCAAAATAAGTTATGGAACTATCACTCAAAATGATAACTTAAAAAATGCTGATAATATTGAAATACAGTAGATTATACTAGTCATGTGATAGAATATTACAGTCATTAAAATGTCAAGTAAAATTAAAAACATACACATAACAAGGTAAGTCAAAGAGTATTGATATTAGGGTTCAAGTTCATACATGCCTGGAATTATTCCAAACAAAATGGCCATAGACAAGTTCTCTCAAAAATACTTGTCCTAGTCTCATCAGGTTGCTTTCTATTTTTGTGCCATGGAAAAAAAAGATTTTGAAATCAGGGCTAATATCAATTTTTTTAATGTTATATTGTGAATTATGTGATAGTTTACATGGGAGAACATTAGCTTTACATGCATCCTATCGTATATCGTTTCACTGCCATGGTTACAATCCCTCCATGCATCATCAACCAACCCAAGGGTATACCCTGCAAGCCTGCATCACCTCCCCTTCTCATATCCCCTGGTCGTCAGCACACAGACCCTCTCTCTCTCTGGGTCTAAAGCCGCTGCATCTCTCCACGTCATCATCTCAGCCTCCATCTCTGGCATCGTGCTCTCCATTCTTTATCCTTGATGGTCCCAGGGACCTCCGGCTCCTAGACTGTAAAGTCAGTCACTCCCCTCCTTTTGCTACAAAACTTCTCCCTTTACATTTCCAACCCTCACAGTCATTCCTAATAACAATTATTCACTGTTGTATCACAAGAGACCTATCCACATCTCCTTTATCAGCCCCACACAGACAGATTGGATACTACTCAGTGGAGATTCTACCTTCCTCCACACCCTCTGGATCTAGGCTCCCTCTTGAAAGCTTGTAAGCTAGTCACTTCTTGCCTTTGTAGCCCCACCCCCCACCCCATTTTGGGTAGCTAATGTCCAAGTTGCCCATCCCTGTCTACTCTGTGTGTGGAGGGGGTTGGGGGAGAGGAGAATGATCCTCGCTGTAAAGATTTGTTCCCTCTTTTGAACTACTGCATACATAGGTATAGGTCAAGTTCATCAAATTGTATCAGATTACTTGTTTTCCTCTTCTTTCTTCTTCTAGGTAAGCTCTGAGTCATGGAAGCTAGGTCAAGTGGGTATTATCTGCAAGTGTGGGTGTTCTTATGCATATGCCCTCTCTTCTTACAAGCTGGACGCTTCACTCTCCACTCAAGTCCTCTGAGGCCATGTCACTGACTCTGGGCCCAAAAGTCCCCAGGTCTTGCTACACTGCTGGCCACCCGGGTTCATAGGAGTCTACTGAAGGGCTTAGCTTGCAGCTTCATTGCTGTTTTTCTCTCACTTCCCCTTATTGGTGATGAACGTGGTCACCAATAAGAGCATGTATTCTCATTGAGTCTTAGTGTTGGAAGTGGGTTTGCTGTTAGGGGACACGACCACTTGCCTTGATGTCTTCTGGATGAGCAACTTGCTTGTTCTTATAGTAATCAGTCAGTGTGCCTATATTGTTTTGTATGCTTCCTGTCGGTCTTTCTTTCAAGAAGTATCTTCTGTTCTTCTAGCTGCTCCAGGCTGGTCTGCTTGTCCTTTCAAGTGGAAATTTCCCACCTCAGTAGAGTCTGGATGGGGTTCAGGATTCCACCTATGGTCCTATGTAATACAGAGCCCCCATAAGACGCCTCCTTCACTGGGCAAGTTGTAGCCCCATTTTAGGTATTCCAATCAATTATAGGCAGAAGACAGACTTATAAGCTTTCTATGGTGATATTTCTGGCTATTCCTTTCTCTGGCCCTCAAGTATGCCAGGGAAACCGAGATTCAAAAGACAGCCAAGCATCTTAACATTATTTGCCCCCTTCTGTCCATTCCAAACATGTCTCAATCACCGTATCCGAGAGCCCTGCTGTTCCAAGGTTGTGCATACATCATTATTTACCTCTGTCCTACTTAGCCTATGCAAACCTAATTGTTTTCCCATCCACTTTGTTTTTCCATTCCTCTTCCCCTTCTTGTGTCTTGCCCCCTCCCCAGCACCCAAACTATCCTGTGTCTATTCCCTATCCTGTGCTCCACCTTCCCCTCCCTCCCCTTATTCCTACCCCACATCCCAGTAACCAGCAAAGAATCCTCCACCCCTTTTAGTATGGGTTCTTTTTCAAATTTTTAACAAAACTCAGTGGACATCTTCCCAAATCACTGAAGCTTTGCATCAAGTTTACAGGAATACTGCCCATAAAAATCAATTGATTTTAGATAGATCAAGTGTTTTTTGGAGGGTCAGGAAGACCTCAAAGATGAGCAGAGAAGGAAAACCATGAACTTCAAATAATGATGAAACTGTGGCTGAAATCCAGAAACTGGTGGAAAAAATATAAAATTGATGACTAGCTACTGAAGCTGGGATCTCACATGGTTTGGCACTTTCAATTTTAAGCAAACATCTTGGCCTCAGCAAGCTTTTTGCTGGATTGGTGCCAGAAGTGTTGCATGAAGATCTGCTAGGTCAAAGAGTTGGTGTGGCACTGTAGGATAAACACTGGACTGCTAACTGCAAGATCAGTAGTTCAAACCCACTAGAGGCTCTTCAGAAACCCTATACAGGGTCTCTACGAGTATAGGAATTCTAGAAGTCCCGGTGCAGCACTGTAGGATACGCACTAGGCTTGGAATTGACCTCATGGCAAGTAGCATGTGCTAGGTATGTGCTGAACTGCTTATACATTAATAACCTAAACAGCAGGAATCCATGTCATAATGGAGGTGAGTCAAAACATTCACTTCCTAAAACTTTGATAGACTTGGGTCCAGTCAATACCATTAATTTACATACCATTTAACTTTTGGAAATATTGATTCATTTACTTGTTTTTCGTTTTTAAACTTTATATCATGAATTGAGCGAAGGCTTATAGAGCAGATCATTAGTTTTACATTCAACAAATCAAATACTGTTTCATTGCAATCCCCTCCATGTATCAACAGTTAACAGTATTTATCTCTATTCACTTTAATTATTGCGTTTCTGTTATATACCTTCATCTTTCTACTGTTAACCTCTTTCTTGTTGTATATTGCCTGCCTTGTCACCCATATTAACCCTCTAGCTTGTGAATAATTTTCCCTCCACCCTCCCCCAACAAACATCATATATTATTCACTAAGAAAACTTTTTACAACATTGGCCTCATACAATATTTGTCCTTTTGTGCTTCACAAATTTCACTCAGCATAATATCCCATCCATGTTTATCCATGTTGTAAGGCCTTTTGAAGATTCATTTTTATTCTTAAACGTTGTATACATTGTGTGTATGTACCAAAGTGTTTTAACGACTCTTCTGTTGATGGGCATTAGGCTGTCTCCATCTATTTGATGTCTCTTGAAGAGAGCATACTGAAGGATCCTGTGCTATTCTCTGTCTCTTGACTGATGAATTTAATCCATTTACATTCTGTATCATTATCAATAGGTCTGAATTGACTGCTGTCATTTTGCTGTGTTTTTTTTTAAACATACATCATTTTATCACAAAATTAAAAAAAAAAACAAAAAAAACAAAATGCAACATCCTAAAAACCCAAAATTTACTACTGAAACTAATTCCTAGGAGTTTGCTGTGCTACCATACATATGTCAAGAAATTAAAGAACCATTAAATATTTAGAAACATTCAACATCAGCTTTCATATCTAACTGTATGTAGCAGCCCTGTAAAAAGATACAAGCTGCATTTTAAAAAAGTATTTTCTTTATGAAGAATCTTACCAGCTATACAAAATTCTGTACAGTTTTTATACTGAAGGTAATATTGAGCTGCACTTGAATTCACATTCTTAGCTAAGTAATTGCCTGAGCACACATGCATACTCCACACATTATTACAGGATAGCCATTTATTCTTCATCTTCATCTTCTTCCTCATCATCTTCATCTTCTTCTTCCTCCTCTTCATCTTCTGGTTCATTTTTCTTTTTTGAGCATGTTGGCCTGCCAGTACCCTTCTTTCCTGCTTCACTTTGGCCCTTGGCACGGTATGCAGCAATATCCTTTTCATATTTCTCCTTTAGCTTGGCTGCTTTCTGCTCATACGGCTGTTTATCTTTGACTGATTGTTCAGACCACATTTCACCCAGTTTTTTTGCACTATCCCCAGTGGATGGGCCCGGGTGTTCACTTAGGATGTTTGGGCGATGTTCAGAGCAAAAGAGGAAGAAGGCAGATGGTGCCCTTTTAGGGGCATTGGGATCTTTTTTCTTTCCTGTCTTATTACCCTTGGGAGGCACGTAATTTTTCATCTCCCTGTCATAGAGAGCCCTGTCACTTTTTGTCATATCTTCAAACTTCAACTTTCCCTTTGCAGACATGGTCTTCCATCTCTCAGAGCACTTCTTGGAGAACTCGGCGAAGTTGACGGACGAGTCCGGGTGTTTCTTCTTGTGCTCTTCCCGGCACATCTGAACAAAGAAGGCGTACGAAGGCATCTTGCCCTGCGGTGTGTTGGGGTCTCCTTTGCCCATCGTGAGGCGCGGCATCTGGTATGAGTCAAAAACCTTTTCCTCAGAGTAGCGCGAAGCGGCTGAATCCTACTGAGACGCTTCTTCCCAAGGGCTCCCACGTGAACTGGTTTCTAGCTAGCGCAATTCTCAGCCTCTTGTTTTGCAGAGCTGTCATTTTGCTGTGTGCTTTTTTAATGACGCTGCTGGTGTGTTTGTTCCACATAATTTACTGTGCTGGGTTCATTTTGTTTGTGGATTTTCTTCTCATTTTCAATTTCATTGCTTTAATGTTTACTAAATCTTTCTGATGTACTTCTTTTTTGTGTGTGTGTGATGTACAGGTGTGTTAAATTTCTTTGATGATACTCTGTTATTAAACATTTTCCCTATTTAAAATTTTTTTATCTTGATATTGTGAGAAATGTTGTCTATACAGACAAAAGCTCAAGTAATCCAATCTGTACTCATTTTAGTGAGTGAGGTTTTCTTAATTTGTTTTTGCAAAATTGGGCGCCCAGCCCAGTAGACACAGACAGAAGGCCACATGGCCCTCCACAAATGGTTTTTATTCTTGTCCCCACAAAGCCCCTCCTCCAGTTCCAATTCTCCATATACAATTCTATGATACATTCCATTTTCCCTCCCCCCAGAGAAGCCAAAATGGCTTGCCCAAGGTCCCTGGTAGCATAGTGGTTACGAATCGGGCTGTGAACCTCAGGGACAGCAGTTTGAAACTACCAGCTGTTCCACGGGAGAAAGATGAGGCACCTAAATATCATTCTTTTGAGTTATTTTTAAATTAATTCCATTACCTTCTCTTCCTAAGAAATGTTTTTAGGCTCACATCTTGGTCATTTGTTTGAGCAATTCTCCCGTTTTTTTGTGTAAGCTATAGTTGACTGTTGTCTTTAGGACACTGTGGGGTTAAACACAAAAATTAAATATTTGTATTCAATTGATGATTGTATGCTGATATGTCCTCAGGCTTTTACCTACTGTCTCCTGAGGGTATAGTTAGAGAATGGAAGTGTGTACACTGTTCCAGCTTGCAGTTAGGGCACCTCAATTAAAGGTGGGTTTAATGGGTGTTGGCTGCTGTCTATTGTTGATCAGGTAGTATAGGAGCTGGTATAGCTCTTGCCTATTGTATGGAGCTGCAGAGGGTATGGTTATGGCTGAACTGTATGTGCACAGTTGCTGTCTCCTGTAGGGTAGGAAAGAGAAAACCTCCCTTTTCCCATCGCCTTTGTGAATATGCTCAGTCAGGCACTCTTCTGTTGCCAAAGCTGCTCACAAGATGGTCGTGCTGCAAACAGAATGTGGGAACCTATCCAGAGAAGCAAGGACACCAAAGATGGAGGCAGAGATGGGGACATGAAGAGAGGGAGCAGCTGAGGACTCTGGACTCATGGAAAGAGAGGGACTGGGTGCTGATGGCCACGAGGCAGGCTTGCAGAATGTGCACTTTTGTTGTTTAAATTATTGATTTTTATATGTGTACAGGCCCCACCAAAACAAAAGACAAAAACAACAACAACACAACAACAACAACAAAAAACGGAATAAAAGCAAATACTGTTGAATGATGACTCACAGAGACTATAATCATTGCAATGAAACAATGGTGTAAAGCCAGTGTTCTCCCATGTAAACTATCACTCAGTTCACAATAAAAACTTTAAAAAATAAATAAGAAAAACAAGTTAATAAAAATCTGATGATATTTTAAATTCACACACACACAGATGGTCGTGCTGTCTGGCCAGTCATTCATCAGTCAATTTCCCTTTCCCTTTCTCCCTCTTCCTGCTTAGTTTCTCCTCCCAGCAAACACTCAATCCACTTTTCTAATCTTTCCTTTGAAGTTTGGGTTTCCAGAATTTTCTGTGTCTACTTCATTTGGTCTCTCCTCATTTACTTATTCTTTCCACAAATATTTAATACAAGGTACCATGTACTAAGTGAAGCTTCTGAAGGTACAAATTTAGCAACCTCAACTGCTAACTAAACTGTTGGGAGTTTTGCTCCTGCAAAGCCATTTGAACTGCAAGGTCGGTGGTTCAAGCTCAGCAGCCGCTCTCGGAAATCCTATCCAGGGTCGCTATGTGTTGGAACCGACTCAGTGGCACTTAACAACAACAATAATAGTGTTCTGGCATGGTGCTACAGGATAAGCATTAAGCAGCAAATTCCATGGTCGTTAGCTCAAATCTACCAGCTGTCCCTTGTAAGCCCTATACAGGGTCACTGTGAGTTAGAATTGACTTGACACTATGAAACAACCATAGTGACTTGGAAAGGAGCCCTAGTGGCATTGTACAGTAAGCACCGGGCTGCTAACCACAAGGTCAGCAGTGCAAATCCAACACTGCTCAATGGGAGAAAGATGATATTATCTGTTTTCAGAAAGATTTACAGCCTTGGAAACCATATGGAGCAACTCTACTCAGTCCTATAGGGTCTGTGAGTCGGAATCAACTCAGTGGCAGGGGAGTTTTATAATGCCAGGGAAAAATGTCTATTAATCTACTTAAAAAAATTAAAAAGTCATTGAAAACCCTAACATTCTAGTACAACAACAGGAAATACAATAAACAAACAAACCACGTAAGTTTTGACAGTGACAAATGGTATTAAAATAATCTAACAGGTAAAAGGATAGAATACTAACAGTGACATTTCTAAATAGGGTAGTTAGGACGAGTCTCCCTGAGTAAAGTCCTGAAGGAGGCAAACAAAGGAGCCTTAAGCAGGTATTTGAGGAAGAGTATTCCAAGGTTTGAGAAAAGCAAGTGCATATTCACACCTGTACTTTTAAATATTTATGTTTCCACTGATTTTTTAAAAAATCTCTTTAAAGAAGAACTAAGATTTTATTTCATATATAGCCTTTTATTCATTAAGCCTCGATTTATAATAGTATGCTTTATACACAGTACAACCCTGTATAGAGTTTCCAAGAAGTGGCTGTTGAGTGTGAACTGATAACCTTGCAGTTCAAATCGACCTTGCAATCCAGTGCTTATCCAACAGTGCCACACCAGGACTCCACATGCTACAATAAGAATTACTAAAAAGGAAATTGGAAAGTTTAAATCAAAAGTAACCTATGAGTCAAGGAAAACATTACAGGAACAATGCTATTCTCTCCTTTTATCCTACACAAAAAATAATCAGAAGAACATCTAGCCACCCATTCACAACATTTATAGTAAAGGCTTGCTGCAAAGCCTTTACCATGTTTTCTAGGATGGCCCCGAATTCAATATTTTTGTATGGCATCTGTAACCAAACCCAAGCTCATTGCCTTCACTAAGGCCATCTTAACTTCCTTATCAGTCGAGTTGATTCTGATTACTAGGAACCCTACTGAGCATATTTAGGAAATACGCTCATTACTGCTTTAATTAGAACTCTGTTCAGTAGCATACAGAAGTTCTAGACAGAGAATAAGCAGCATTCACTTTGAACTCACAAAACAGAAGATTTTAGCCATGACAAATTGCTTGAAAGTACTGTCCAAGCCTCTCAAGAGGATAAAATTGAGGCTCAAGAGACTAAGAATTAGCTCATCTCTGATAAATAATTTAGGTACATATTTTATACTGTTTATTGCTTATGATGGAAGAAGCAGAAAGCTACCCGTTTAAAATTTGGCCACGATCCCTGCAGATTCCCTTCATTAGAGCTCTTTGGTGAAATGTAATGTGTGCTTGGATTACAGCATAGCTAAGAGGCTGAGACAATGGTGGGAAGCTGACTGCCTCAAGTGCTTCTGACAGGAAAAATAGGGTCGTACCGCTGGATCTTACCTTCACTAAGGTTCCTACCAGACAGGTTTAACTGGCCACTCTTTCTTGCCGCCTTTAACAGCCCCTGGGGTACCGAGGTAGTGCAGTCTCTCCGCTCTGCTCTGAAACCTGCCTGGGGATCCCGCTCCATGGTTCCCTTAAAGCGCGACATGTTCAAACCTCACGTCCCAAAAGAGGCGGCTCAGCCTACGACGTTTAAACCAAGCGCCGCTGCGCCGCTCTGCCCCTCCCGCGTGCGATGAGTTGTTGGTCTTCCGCTGGGCCTTCGCTATTTACGGCGCTGCACAGATGTCGTCATCGTTAGCGCCTGGAGCTGGAGGACAGAGGAGGCCTTCCGGTTGCGGGTGCCGGCCTTGTGTCGTGGAATTCTCTCAAGTAAGTGCGTTTAACGGCAAAAGTCAGGCTTTAGAGTGTATGATGTGCTCTGTTACTGAGACATCAACGTTCTTTAGGCTCCCGCCATGGCAAGGGCGTCGGGAAAGAATAGTCCTCTCGTCGCCCCTCGCCTGGCCTCAACCTGGGCCTGGACTTGAGACCTGGGCGCGGTCTGTAGCCTCTCTAGACCAGAGCCTGTGTCGTTTGCGGTGGTTGCGCTAGGCTTTCAGACGTAGGAAGTAAAGCCGATTTCTTGTTCTTCAGTCTTACATTCTGAGTCGTACATTCCTAAAATGATTCACCTTTCTCCGTTGTCGTGTTTAATTTATAGCGTAGCGGAGGAGGCAATGTGCAGTAAAAGAAAGGCTTGTCAACATAAAAGGAGGGAGAAAAAAAAGCTTTGGATTTAATAAAGTGCTCTCTACCGAACAATTCAGGAAGACAAACGGAAGCACAAGCGTTGGTATAGCGTAAACAGCTTGGACTTTGGAGCCGTAGCGATGCGAGTTCGAATTCCCGCTAATTTCTATGCCTTAAAGCTCTGTAATGTTAAGCGTTTTTCTCAACCACTTTTAAAGTTCGTTCACTCTTCTATCATTAATTTAGGGATAAGGCTTCTTACTCATAGGCTTTTGAAGTGATTAACTGAAGGTACAAATGTCCTTTAAATCTTGAGCTCTTGGGGAAATGGACCCAAGTTCAGAAGGAAAAAAAAATCAAAATTCTGTTCATTAAGTTGATGTTACCTGGGAGTTAACATCTCTCTGAAATATGAACCTTAACTGATATATTCAACAAAAAATTTTTGAGGACTGCTTGCATAGTTCTTGGGTATTTGTGTGCTATGCTTTGCTGGAAGGAGCCCTGGTAGCACTGGAGGATAAACACTGGACTGCTAACAAGCTCAGGCAGTTGAAACCCCTCAGTTGTTATGAGGGAGAAAGATGAGGCCTTCTGCTCCTGCAAAGATTTACAGCAGGTTAACTGTGAGTCTGAATCTACTGGGTGACATGGGTTAAACTTTGCTGGAAGTGACTTTACTTTTAAAAAACATCATATACATGGAGTCCCCAGATTTCAAACCTCCAGCATACGTGCAGCCTGTAGTTATATCAATAATAGGCCAACCCTTCAAATCTATTGTATTATAATTTTAAGGTGCATACAGTGGTTCATACTGATAAATAGGCGTTACTTTGTTACGCATACCAAATCGTTACAGTGTTAAAGTACTGTATTAAAGATGTTTTAGTATTTCAAAAAAATGTTTATATTTTTGCTCATACAAAAGTACTAAATAAACATTTGAATACTTGATGTTATATATATTGTTAAGCCTTGGAGTTGGTTCCGACGCTGACGCACAGCGACCCTGTATAGGGTTTCCAAGGAGCAGCTGTTGAGCCTGAACCACCAACTTTGCAATTCATATGGCATTGCAGTCTGGCGAATTAACCCACCATATCACACCAGGACTCCTGATGTTATATATGTAAGATATCTAATTGTTCAATTTATATACAGTTCGACTTAAAGACAGACAAAAATAGAATTTGTCTTTAATCCAGATACTTCCTATTCTGGTAAATTGCCTCCTGTTAAGTGCTGTGGAGTTTGTTCCAACTCCAGCGACTCTAGTAGCATAGTGGTTACGAGTTGGGTTGCTAACCTCAAGGTCAGCAGTTCGAAACTACCAGCCATTTTGCCAGAGAAAGATGAGGCTTTCTGCTTCTGTAAACCCTATACATCTCTATGAGACTCCATGGCACACCACCATAGAACGGGGAACATCTAGCCAGCCTGCCTGCCTTATATTGTAGTTGTTAAATGCCCTTGTGCCACCTCCGACTCATAACTACCCTATATAGAGTTGTTTCCAAGGAGCAACTGAAGAGTTTGAACTACCGACCTTGTGTTCAAGCCAACATTGCAGTCAGTGGTATTAACCAACAGTACCACACCAGAACTCTGTGTATAAGACCATCAAAATCATTTGCTCTGGCCCTGCCATGGAAACCTGTCCCAGCCATCAAAATATGGGTGGGTTAATTAAATGTTTGACCAAATATAGCAGGCTGATTTAAGTTGATAATTTTGTTTGGTCCATGAATAATGTTACAAGTTTTGGCAAAAAACAAACAAAAAAAACAGTTCCCCATCCCTACTTTTTACGGTTTCTGAGGAGCAGCTGGTGGGTTTGAACTGTTGACTTTTTACGGTTTCTGAGGAGCAGCTGGTGGGTTGAGGTTAAAACCAACCAAGACTCCGAAATACCCTCATCAAGTCTGATAGGAATTGGTAGGCTATTTAACAGTTTCGAATGATTCCAGCTTTTTAGGTTTTGAGCATCTCTTCCCTTTTTTCTTCTTTGCTATGAGGAATCCTTTACACTAAACATAAACAGCAGAATGGTACCAGTATTATCCTACCAAGCAAAGGAAGTCTGGGTCTTAAAGGTGAAAAAACATTTTAGAACTGACATGTTATTTTAATTTTAAGAGTTTTTTCTTACCATGAAACCAAATAGTGATCTTTAAAAAAAAAAAAAAAAAATTACGTGTGTGTGTGTGTGTGTGTGTGTGTTACTTTGTTGCTAAGTGCCATTGAGTTGGTTTTGAACCATAGCAACCCTGTATAGGGTTTCTGAGGAGCGGCTGGTGAGCTTGAACCACCCACCTTGTGGTTCAAATTGACTTTGCATTCCAATACATTAACTCACAGAGCCACACCAGGAAACTTTCGCTCTCTTTCTCTCTCTCTCTCTCTCTCTCTCTCTCT